AAGACACGAAAATAAAGTCAGGCTCTTTTGACCAGTCCTGCTACAATAAGTCTTTAAGGACATCGACATCCACCGTCACCTACGTCGCACCTGTTCAAGTGGGTCAATGTCTTTCCTTATGCGCTGTGTCTAGACAGGCATGCCCTAGTCCAGTTGATGTCTCACAACGATGTTGAAGATTTTTCCTGATGTTTCACCAGATTATTTTAACCCATATCTAATCCAGTACAATGTAGTAATGGTTCTCTGGATCCCCGTTTTGTCGTGTTCTAATGGAATAAAGTGGACAGAAAACTTTCGAGGTCTACAGGTGCGGGATGAGGAACTGATACCGAAGGCGGTATATCCGAAGAATGTTGACAAGGAGAGATGCACCTGATTTGTGTCCGGTTGGGTTAGGGCACTGACACTAGCGGATCTGGGTTTGGTGACGAACCCATACGTCATCATCTACGCAAACGTCGAACAAAAGGCTGCCTCTGTGCGCTGCTGTTGTTGCTTCAATTCGCTCTCGGAACCCAGCTCGCTAGTCGCGAATGAGGACGGATGTTTCGACTGGAAGCTTGCCGCAAGAGATGGATGAAATCGACTGCAAGAATGGTATGCTGGTAGGGCATAGGGCATAGAAATTTGTTCGTTATTTATAGTCCACTAAAGCTTTGGCATGAGAGACCACCAGGGGATATCGGGTTGGGATGGTCCTTTAAGTAAACAGAAGCGCCTGGATTATCTCCTCAGCTGTCCCCTCTCCACAAGCTATAAAGAGAGTTTTACTGAATTTTTTGACGAAACGCTCTATCTGACTGTTAAATTGAAGGTAATAAGGCCGGGAGCGAATAGGCTGAACACTATTTTGGCGACCGAGCTCTTCATGCATCGATGATGTAAAGTAGGAGACCTTATCTTAAAATAGAACATCAGTTAGACCACCTTAAGTGAAGATACACCGTAGGAAAGTGATGGTGGCAGATGTGTTTGTCGGATTCAACGGTGCAATCTGGGCTATTGAGGGTATGCGCCGACCAAGATTAGGTAGGAGATTCTTTCGAGTGGCCCGGCAAATTCGATATGTACACGTTAGCAAGGTGTATTCGGTGTTTACCATGATACTTACAGTTGACTAGCTGGCATCTTAGCAGCTTGCTGACAACGGGAACAGCACCCAACTAGGCCGTTGATATCGCTATCGATAACCGACCAGTAGGCAAAACTACAAGCGATGGACTTCATTCGACTGGTACCAGGGTCGTAGCGTTAAACTGGCGTAGTACAGTAGGTGGAAATGAGGAAAAAATCACCTCGTGGTCCATGAACTGGAGGCTGGAATCGAACACAAATAGCAATGCTTGACGTAGAAAAAGCAATTGTAGATCGTCAGTGAGAGTAGTAGTTAACCAACTGGTCTGCCTATATGTGGTAACTTGGCGGAAAACGGAATCCTGTTCGGAAGCACGGTGGGTCTCGGTGGTAGTGACAAGTGTGCCTCGTATGGCGTCTGAAATCGGACGGTGTTCATCGCCCTCAATCAACATGAAAGACAACCGAGTGTCTTATTGAGGTTCCTGGTGATTGTAGATGGGATGGGAAGAAACATCAGCCTGACCAAAGTCGGTAGTGCAGCAGTAACAGATATGAAAATTTTAACCAAGAAGAGTGGTTGCCCATCACTGAATTCGGTCGGCTGAAGAGACTGGAATGCCCTACTTCGAAACTAAGATTGACAGCAAGGATTTTTGACCAGCCAACGACAGGAACTGAAGACCGTACAGCAGCTGGAAGAACCTACTGGCGGCAAAGCTGATGGCTTGTGCTTCTTTTTCAATTTGACCTTAGTATTTGTCAACAGGGTTTAGCTTTTGGGACGTGTGTTTGATCACCTTTTCAGACCGATAGAAGAAGTATGCAAAGTGACAGCACTAATGCCATGGTTGGAGGTGTCTACAGCAACGAGGACGGGCAGTGTTGGGTCATAGTGTGTGAACAGCAGCTCGGAACTTAGCATCAACTTCAACTGGGCAAAGTTCTTTTCACAGTCGGATGACCGGTACCAGGGAGCATCCTTCTGCAGCATACGGTATAGCGGGACTCGTAAGTCGTACAACAACTAAGGGAACGAACGAAGTTGTGAAAAATCATTGGCCGGAAGCATGTGTTGGATGGTACAAACATGTTCAGAATCTAGATTGCGATCTGTGGCGTCGAGCTGAAACTGAGATACTCGATGGACTCCAGAAAGAAGTAATACTTGTCAGTCAGCAATCGGAAACATTATTCCTGCAATTTTCAAAATACTGCACACATTTGGCCTTGGAGCTCAACAGAGGAGCGGCCCATGACGATGATGTTGTCAAGGTATCAAGCAGCACTAGGAATGTCGGAAAACCTTGCAATCATGGTTTGTTGAAACAGAACCGAAGCGGTCATTACAATAAAGCGCAGCCTAGCATATTCGTGCAGTCCGCAGTGCTACTTTGACCTGCCAGATCCAATTTGGCAAGGCAAGTGCTACCATTACGCAGGACTAACGGATCAGCGGGTATCGACAGTGGATGACAATTAAGTGTCACAGCGGTAAGGAGACCAGTGAAAATTCGAAGCATATACGGAAAGAACTATTTGACTTCTTAGCCACGAAGATAGAGGCAGGCCAGAACCAGCAGGACATAAGTGTCAGAATTCCAAGTTCCTGCAGGCGCTCAGCATCGACAAGTGGCAAGGCGGCAAATGGAAATGGTCTCTTTGGACGAAAGACAGCTTGACTCCATGGACAGAGAGTCAGAACGGCTTGCATACGTTTGGAGCACTGAAAAAAAGTGGGAGAATTTTTGCGACAGGGTTTGCAGGAGCAGGAATCGCACCTCCCATCGTTTTGAGCAGGCAGATCGACTGAGAACAATTCCTTTTATCCTTTGCACCAGGAATCAAAAGGGACATGCACCTGCGGGTCATATATGGACTCAGTGGTGCCGTCAACGATGTGACCAACAGATTGTGAACCATTGATTGCTTGATTGGCTCACGGATGAGCTAGGTAGCCTAACGGCGAGCACCCCCATGAGCTTTAGCTTTTACTGCAACATTTGTTTCATATCAAAGTACGCGTCAGCCATCCTGGAAAGACGACCAGAACCCCACGCGCGGCCATGCAGCAGAGAAAGTAAAGTGATGATATTAGCCTACGAAGGAGTTACCGGCATAGTTTTATTAGGGAAGATGGTTGGAGTAAGGCAAAAGAAGTGAGATGGTTTGGGAAACACGGGGTGATTAAAAGGCTGTGTTTCAAAATGTGGTGGGCATAGTTTGCTGCACTCCATGAAGAGAATAGAAGCTGAGCACGTACCATAACCGTTGGTTTGAGTCGAAGAGGGATGGTTAGGAGACCTATACTGTAGGACTACTGTTAACGCAGCCCACCTCCGTGGTTAAATGCACAGTGCTAGATGGATCGGGTTTAGGCTTAAGCAACCGCGATAATGGTCGTCAGCTTAGAGTATACAGCTAAGAAGGAAGACAGATCTGGTAGGGCGGTAAAAGTAATAAATCATAACGGGATAGAAACCGAAACGGAAGGACAACTAGGTAGTTAGGAATTGGAGTAGAAAAGTAGCCGGATTGGTATAAACCAACCCAGATACCAGATGATGATCGTGACCGAATATAGGGTTGCAATGGTCTGCCGTTGTTGAGAGCAAGTTGTGGTTGAATGCAAACATGCCGTACGGAGAATGCATGGCAGGATGGGGCCCGAGACAGAGAGCTATAGGCACGAAGGGCTGCATGAGTCGTGTGTACAGTCAATTTAGCAACAATTCCCAGCTGCTGCAGAGGTGTGATCAATCACTGCTGGCCGGTAGAAGAAGCGGTCGTGAGGCAAGTGTTTGCTGCAAGTTAGGAAGACAGCGTGCGAAATCCATCGCAGACCAGTGGACATAGAGGGACGTAAGAGTTATCAGAGAAGGTACTACGCCTAGCGCATCAGGTAGGTTGGTATGAACGGTGGATAGGTAGACGTAGCGGTGCGCAACAATCGGAAAATATGACAGGCCCGAGTCCAATTTGTGGTAGGGACTATATGGCAGAATGTGGGTCAGGTAACGTAGACAAGCGAACGAGCAGCGACTGTAGGCGTGGTTCGAAAGAATTTTAAAAGGAGGTTGGGCAGCTGGGGTTAGTAGGAAGGGAAGTCCACATAGTCGTTCTTAATCCGAATACTTGCGGAAAGAGTTGAGTGGAGGGCACTTCTAGTCCTCAGCCTGATAAGCAGCTTCGAAGACACAGTTTATGGAAAGGGGCCAGTTTGCACGTTGCAGGGGTCGGAAGATGGCATGCAAAATCAGTCGCAGCATTGCCTACGGAAGGGAGGAGGGGATGAGGACGTTTAGAGCATCAGAACTCGTAGAGGGTCGATAGAAGGAGCCGGAGGGCATAAAATTCAAACCAGAAATCGTGGAAGGCCGTGCACGGCAACAGTGGTTAGGATGGGTATGACGTATTCTTGGCAAAAGCGCGATCGTGAGCAAACTTAGAGAAACAGACCAGGATGGTTGCTGGCTGCAAAGGAGACCAATCTATGTGCGTGGACTACACTAGGAAACCCCTGCTAAGTCGCAGTAACAGAAACTAGGAGTGGTAGCAGGAGAAGGATGATGACTGCCGGTCCGCAGCCCTAGAGACCATGTAGGTGAGCGTCAGTCGGATGTGTACTGTCGGAGTGGAAAAAAAGTACAGAAATCTGACAAACGGAGGTTATAGTTAGAGAAAATCTGTACGCAGGGAGCGTGATTAGACGTGGGCGACGGAGGTGACAGATAGACTACATTGGCCCAAAATTAAAAGTAGGGAGTTATTG